AATGGGCCCGTTCGTAAGCGAAGCGGAAATATAAAAGGCTAATTGGGTCCATCCTTATTTAAATCGGAAAACGAAAGGTTATTTTTTGGTAGCACCGGGGGTCGTTATAACGAAATTCCTTTTAAAAGTACTTTATTAATTATACCAAGCATTTGGAAGTAAAAGCTTTTCCGGGCTTATCGATGCATGGCGGTTATAAATCCGGCAAAATTTTTTCGTATGGTTTAGCGATGCATCGAATTGGATTGTTTTAAAACGGAAAGGGTTAAATTAAGTACCGAATTGGTTCCGGTCCGCGTAAGGTTGGTCCGGAACGCGGATAACCGGGTAACCGGTATTTGGGCGAAAAAGACCGGGATTAAAGGCGCGCCAATAACGGCAAATGTAATTTGGCAAAAAGCTTAGCAAAAGGCAATTCGTAACAATATAGCCGCTATGTCCATTTGCTTGCTTTTAGCTAATCGTCGGTTAATTTTGGCAATAATATTTTCGGCAAACGTTTGTTATTATTCCAAAGTGGTTAAAAAGTATGCTGTTATAGCTTTTTATCGTTTTTCGAAATCGTTTAGCCTTTGTTCGGTATAAACGACCTTATATTTTATATGGCCCGCTTATTGCTTAACGGTTCCGATAATGTAAGTAAAGCAACGGTGCATATTTTTAATTGCAAATTGGTAAATTTCGTATGCTTTAATTATTTTATTATAAGCGTATTTGCGGGTAATATTGTTGCTAGCGGATTTAGCGATAACATTTTATATTTTAGCGGCGAATAAATTGTTACTTTCGATTATCCTTTTTTTAAAGTTCCGGGTTTATATTTCGGAAATGGTTACGCCGTTTTAAACGATTTAAAATACCGTTATATAATTTTGGCGGGTATAATTATATTGCTAGCGCAATTTTGCTATTTGGGATTAAACGAATTCGGTAATTTGCAAAAGGTTTTTAATTTTATACCGAAAGGTTAAAATTGCTTAGTAAAATGTTTAAAGGCCGTTATGGATTTTTTCCATCCATTGGGCGTATATAAGGTTTCCCGGGATACGTAATTGGTAATTTGGCTTTTAAGTAACGGGCAAAAGTTGTTTTTCGCCGTCGTTTTGCTAAAGTTCGTTAAAGGTGGGAACGGTATAAAGTACGATGGTTCCCGTATTTGGGTCGAGCATAAAGGTATTTTGCTTCGTTCGATTTTTATTAAGGGCGCGGGAATAGGATAACCGAAGTTTTTGTAATTTAGGGGCGGGTTTTAATGCGCCGCTTTCGGAAAGGGCCGCGTTGTTACCGTTAATAGTTTTTTAAGTATTTTCGAAAGGTTAAAAAAAGGCCCGGCCTTAAGGTTTGGATATTTATTCGCTATTTGCCATAATTGCGTTTAGCGAAAAAGGTTTAATGGAAGCGCGTTAATTTTCGTTGTACGTAAACAAAGGTTTTGGCGAAATAATGCGGGAAATTTGCTTGGAATAGTTTTAATAAAATTCGGTTATTACGTTAAAGCTATGCTTTAAAGCGGTAATAGCGTTATTTTGTTGTTGGATTCGTTTTAAATTGCTAGTAATTTTTTTGTAAAGGTTTTTATAGCGTGCTTTAATTTCGTTTAAAGGGTTTGTATTTTTAGCGTTGGCTTTTACCGCGTAAGTTAAAAACGAAAATCGATTAAGCTTTTGTTTAAAAAGGTCGTATTTTTGCTTTTGCCGGGTAAAGGTTAAGCGAATTTTCCTAATTGTTTTTTTTTGTTTTTTTTAAAAAATAGCTAATTATTTTTTGGTAATTTTTTTTCGTATTTGGATTTATTGTAACAAAGCAAAAAGGTTTTTTTGTATGGATTCGATTTATTGGGCGAAGTTATTAAGGGCTTGGCTTGCTTCGTAACGGAAACGCTTTTTGATAATATTAATACGTCGCGCAATAGCTTTTTCGTAGGTTATTCGTTTAATTTTGCTATTTTTAAAAAGTTATAAAATAAATTCGTATTGTTAATTTGCTTAAGTAAAAATAAAACGTATAAAGTTACGGGCGTGGTTAAAATTTTTGGTTAAAACGTTAATTCGAGCCGTTAAATTTTGTTAAAGGTTTTTTTGTTGCTTTTTAACCCGTGCGAAACGATTTTTACCGATAATTGCAAATCCTATAGCTATTGGTAAGGTTATTTGGTGCGGGTCGATTAACCCGGAAGGCGCTTGTAGCCTTTTAAAAGCAATAACGGGTTTGCTGCCTAAAGCAACGAGCGGGTTAAAAAACTTATCGATTAATTTGGCAAGCGGCTGCGGGGTAGCCAATTGCAAGGGCTTGTTAAAATTTGTTGTAAAGGTAACCAACGCTAAAATCGGTTTTTAGCGTAATTGTTGGTCGCGTTCGGTCTTTGTAAAATAATAAGTGCAAAACCGCGATTTTCCAAACGCGGGGCGGGTGCAATGCTAGCAACGGGAAAGGGAAATACCTAACCCGATAAGGCTTTTTTCGTCCACAAAGGCAAATTTTGGCTTGCCGGTTTGGTTATTTGCCCAAAAACGTACAATTGCGGCAACGCTATTAAGGATTTGCGCGATAAAAAAGGGAATTAAACTTATGGATGCAAATAAATGCTTAAAGGAAATTTGGATTGGCTGCATTTCCTTTTAACAAAGGTATAGGTATAATTAAAGCAATCCCGAAAAAATAAAAAATTATTTGTTACAAAGGAATTTGGGATCGGTTTGGAAAATGTTTAATATATTAATAATTTTTTAAAGCCTTTAGGAAATGCTTAAAAAAGCAAAATTTCCAGTAAAAACCTTAAAAGATAAGCTTTTTTTTATAAACCATTTGGCCCTTACGAGAAGGGTACGTACTTGGGGTCGAGGGGAACAAACCTCCCCTTGACCGGGCGCGTAATGCATGCGGGGTTTTTGTAACCCCTCCAGCCGGCCCAACCAACGCCCAGTTCCCTGTCGCTGTCTTGTGACTCGCCCTGTTGGCCGTCCAATCGGTCCTACTGGGTCGTCGGCTCAATCCCCGTGTGACACTCCAGCGGGACGTCCCGACGTGCCTGCAGTGATCGGTGGCTGCCATCCCCCTAATCCCCCGCCCTGCTTGTTATGGCCAATCATGGAGACTCTCTGTCGCGGCCATCTGCGAGCTGAGCCGGGCTGAAATGGTGGTGGGTGGTTGGCTCTCCGGGTATTAAGCAGTCCGGTTCCGGTGGCCGATGGTTGGGGACAGCGGGCCGCCGATGCCCCCTTATCGGTGCCAGTACCTTGCAGCAACAGAACTTGGCTTCAGTAGCTGAATGAGGATATCCGAGACAACGCCTTGGTGGCTGAACCTTGCGAGTGGCCTTGGGATCAGGTTTATCGGTGGGTCAGCATGGCATACCAAACTTGGTCACATGGAATCTTTGTAAGCTGCAGAATGTATCCTTTGACTGTCTCTACGGGGTAGGAATAGCGCGGCGTAAACAAAGTCCACGTGACCGTAGAGCTACGAGTCACTTCTGTTTGAGCTTATAATTAGGATTGGTGAGTCTATGGAACGAACCCATGAGATTGTCTCCGGCACCGATAAGAAACCCATTGGATGATGTAACTAGCAGCGCTGCCTAGTATGATTTCTCCAACATGTTCTGGCTATATAATTACAAGACTCACAAAAATCTGCTCGCCTCTCCGTGCAGGAAAAGTGAATCTGGGACTGCCCCTACGGGTATCTCCGTCCAACGCCTGTCACTGGTCCTTCCTTCGCCCCTCTCATGACCCACATAACCTGCCTAATACAGTTAAGAGTGACTGAGATAAGAGGTCACTTGGGCTGGGCAAATCCGGATTCTGCATTCCTCGCCCGTTTAGACCTAAATCTACCTAATTAGGCGCATTGTTGTATGTACCTCTTATTGCATCAAAGACAGACAAAAAGAAGTGATTGCAGATAAGAGGGTGAGGTAGCTGCATACCTAGATACCTATCTTTGCAAAGCAACGAGATGCCTGTGGTAATTACTGTTTCTGTGCATAATAATTATTGGGAACAAAAGCGATTCGGGTGTTTGGCAGTTATGTGGCCACGTGATTGAATCATGTCATCCCATGTGGGCTCCACCTGAACAAAACTTGAACCTTTCGGGCCTGTATTTTATCGTTGCCGCTTGACTTTTGCGTATAGTATACTGTTGGACGAGGTGAGCTAGGAGAGTTTGAGTAGGTCTAGGAGATTCCCATTTCGCCCATCCCCCAAGCTTGTACTTGGACAGTCGTGCCTAACGAGATGGAGATGAGTGAAGGCGAGGTTCAGGACGGAGGGGAGGGCTCCGATGTGGACATAACCTCAATCGGATCGAATGCCGACGAGGAGGGCTATAAAGAGGAGGTTTGAGTAGTTGCAGGCTGGCCGCTGCCGAATCCGAAAGGAAGAGAGAGTTTAACATCACGTGAGAGTCATGTGATCCATGATCACACGGGCGCGTATGTATAACATTGTTGCGTCGGGGAGCGAGCGAGGTGTATTTTACTTACTAGTGGGAGTCCATCAAGGCTGGCGAAAACCTACAAGCGGGTCCCCGTTTGGACCCGTGGGTTTTGGGTCCGGCTTGGACCCAAAAACCCAAATGGGGACCCGTTTACGGGTCCTTAGCGCTCTGGGTTTTGGGTAATTTGGGTCCCCAATGGTACCCAAATTAATAAAGGGCACGTGCGTAAAAATTATTTTTATTATAATTATTTGTAAAAGCAAAAAATTTAAAGTTAATAACAAAGGTGATAACGCTTTAGACCCGGCTTTTTCGCTTGGACCCAAAAATTACCCAGATTTTGGACCCATTACCCAGATGGACCCAAACCCAAAGACCCATTACCCAAATGGGTCCCCGCCCCAAACGGGTCCTTTGGGTTTCCGCCAGCCTTGGAGTCCATGCCGTTTCCGCTCGAAAACGGCCTATCTCCCCCCCTTTTTTTCTTTTTCTGATATGCCCGTCGCGCCCATCGAGCGTGCCCATTTCGCCCAGTCGCACGAGCTTGTCGGGCAGCTCATCTACCTTGAGGCGTTGAAGCCCTCGCCGCTGAGCTGGAAGGTGAACTGTTCGTTAGATTAACCCGTGACTAATGCGTCAGGGAATAGCTAGGCTAGCATAAACCACTGCGAGCCTCCTGCTTTGATCAATGTCTCGGAACCTGCGCAGAATCGGGTCATTGGTCTGTATGTTCCGCCTCACATCCTTGGGCCTCGTCCCCACCTTCATCACGCGCTCCAGCCTCTCGAATGTTAGGGTCCGAGGTCGCCAGGCGCAGGCCCGGCAGCATCGACAAACAAAAGCCCGCGCCGATGGCGGTCAAGGCCGAGCTTCGCGAGGTGCAGTCGACCGAGCTGAGGAAGGGATGGAGCAGATGTTCACGTGCGGGCCTTGGATCGCGTACTGGGAGTCTTCACTCCTAGGGCCACAATGCCTCTTCGGCCATGGCGAAGCTTAGCAGGCGGTCGTTGTCGCCCACGCCCCGGTCGGCAGGCTATACGGGGTTTCTTGCGTTATCTCGTGCAGCTGTCGGCCTTACCTCTTTCCACAGCCACGACGTGACTGCTACGCCAAGAGCCATTTTGTAGCACCTGACGGCCCAACGCAGCCAATTACTGTCGGTCTTTCCTTGTCGACAAGATATTTTAGCCCCCAAACAGAGCCTCTGCTAGTGGCGGTCCTTGCATCGCAGCTTTCCATGCGCCACACAAAGGCTCTCCAGATCTCCTTGTCGTCGAATGCTTCCTACCTGTCCCCTATCTGTACCCACCCGCTCGAGCCCAGATAAGTCCGCAGTGGGACCTTACGAGCAAGGGGCATTGCACAATGAAGAAAACGTGGCGGCATAAACAGCCGCTGTTCGTGATGTCGAACCTAGCCCCACTCACGATAGCTTTCGCCCCGGGCGCAGGCTGTCTGCGTGTCAATCCATCGAGACGCACCTGGCGACACGTCTGGCGGCGTCAGCGGTCTGGCCGAAAACACTACTAGGAACCGCCATACCGTCGGCGCTGACGCGAGGAGCCGACTCCACAGACGCGAGATCGCTGGAGTCATGGACCAGACACAAGCGCCTGGGCCTTGGCGTTCATACTCGTCTAGGATTTGCAGCCCGGCGCGGGCTCGTACTAGTAGCTCAGCTAGAAGCTCGACGTCTCCGGGTGGCTGCCAGACCACGTCCTGACCGAAATGGGAGCTCAGCCTTTGCCGTGTTCTGACTGGCTCCCGGAATCGCCGCTCTGGTACTTATACGGCGTCAGATACGATAAGGAGGTCGAGATTTTCTACATCACCTACGAGGGCGAGGAGCTGATTCTTTTAGCCGAATGTCCAATGTTTGTGTCGGGGTGCAAGGTTGTCATCGGGTCCTGGGCTGGAAGAATGCTGTTATTTAATTTTAAAAGGGACGCAATCCTTGCTATAACGCGAAAGAGCAGCCATTCGCAGGTAGGAGAATGGATGCCACAGATGCGGTCACGCATTGTCGGCGGACAATGGGCAGATAGGAAGCCCTATAGAGTCAGATTAGTCCACAAATGACTGGCCCGTCGCCAAGTCATCCAGTCAAACGGTGCTTCTGACACTCCCGTTCTCCTGCATCATGCGGCGTAGCGGTTTGGATGACCGCAGCTGGCGTGACTTCGAAGCTGACTACCACGCACGCACCATCGTACGCATGCATATCTGAGCCATCTCGTACCGGACATGCGTACCACTTTGGGGCAACTGGCATCCAACATGAAGTCCTAGACAAACGACGCGGTTTATATATATTGGCAGGGCGCCTGCTGTTACGGAGCGAGCCCGAGACCGTGCTTAAACCAGGTGAAACCCTACCAGAACCACTCCCCCAGATAAACGGGGAACCTCTCTCTTCCCCCTCGCTTAACAACAAAGCCTTCATACATGACCTAGGTGTTGCATCATGACATCCGGTTGGCCCTCGGCGGGCAGGGCCGCCGCCGGCAGAAAGATTCTCTACCTGGCATTTTCTCCCGACAGAAATTTTCTTCTTCGACTCCGGATCTCGATTTCTCATCCTGCCGCCGCCAGGAGTGTCGGCCGAGGCGTCACGACAAGCGGTACCAAAATTATCGACGAGCCCCTTGTTAACACGACGCAGTATCTCCTTTCACATCGCCGGACGCGAATCGCTATCCCAAATAGTTCCTTTCCTATCGCTGCGCCCAAGAGGCCGTCCACAGCATCGCTGTCAAGAAATAAATTTGCATATTTACTATCTCGCTTCGGATCCTATATTCTTTCATGGTATCGCGAGCATCGCGCCGGCGTCACCGCGCGCACGCCAGGCCGGAAACTGGATTACCATAGCATTATACAATATGCTATATACACCTCACATTCACTATCCTCATCACCTCCTACTACACGTTCCTCCGCCGCTTCCCGCCCGCGCCCGGATCCAAGGCGGGCGTGGGGGCAGGTGGTGCCCAACAGCAGGCTCCAAGAGCATCTCCAGAGCAGGCTAGGGCACGTGAGTGCACGGCCCACCCCGATGGATAGACCTGGTTCGCACACGAGCATTCTGCACCCGTGGTATCTGGATCAGCGGGATCCTCGCCGAGACGGACAACAAGCAGGACGACGCTCTGGTCGTGCATACAGACAGTGCCAACGCACAGACGACCGTCCTTAACCCCTTGAACTCCGTCAGGACCCGGATGATCGACCTACGCTATAAGTGGGTGATCGACGCAGTCCGCCGTCGCCTGTTTGAGCTTCGCCTGGTGGGAACGGCCAACATGAAGGCCGACCGGCCTGACGAAGGGACTGTCGGCTAACGGACAGGCCAAGTTCATCGCCCGGCTGGTTGTCTGGATTTGACGAGAGGGAGGACTGTGATGAGTTGGACTGACGGGGGAGCAATTTCAAGACACCAGAACCATAATAGAGGCCATAAGCTTCAAAACACCAAGGATCCGGATCACGATACTTTTTCTGCGATTTACCTCACACAGCAGGAGAGGGCTGCTGAGGAGGACAAGAGCATGGCCGGCGCGGCTGTTGGACTCCGGGCCGGGCTTACTGTCTGCCAGAAGCCGCCCCGTCACCGCTGGTCAGACTCACCAGCACCAGCACTCGGGAGCCTGACATGGTCGCTCAGAAGCCCGGCACAGTCGCCTAGAAGGGCGGCATATTGGGCCACCTAGCACCAGTTGCCCTGAATCCCGATACAATCGCCTATTCCGGCATCCCGTCGGCTTCCCCGTTCTCGGGCGGGGGGG